ATGTAGTACCACTTGTTATTTGAGGGTAGCATGGTTGTATCCATATGGGCTATATGTGTGTGGAAATTGTTTTGCCCACAATGTGTTTATGGAATTGCCCCAATGGAGTTATAAGGGCTAAGGTGACTTCATTGTGGTAAAGTCTGAGTGACCACCCATAGTCACATTTCACACACTCACTGATAGGCGTTTCTCTGTTTGATAGGTATAATGAATCCATCTAGGAAGAGACGCAACACCGGGTCCTTTGCTAGTGGATCAGGAAGCTCCTTGAGAGCTAGGGGCAAGCCAGTGCGCCACAGTTTGACAGCACTAGGTTTGTCTCCAAACCGGCGGAGGATAGGTACAATGCAAAAGTAGCTAAGAAATTGCTACATGAGATGCATATTGACCGAGAAGCCTTAGTGGTGGAATGCCCAAATATCTTCAATGAGTTGAGGAGGTGTCAGCTGGACTTCTTCTTTGAGGTACCGGAGGAGGCCAATATTCAGATGGTAAGGAAGTTCTATGCTAACTGCCCGGAATATGAGAATGGGGTTGTTACTGTGTGCAATACCCGGGTAAATGCATCCCTCGAGACCATCCGCATGGTATACCGGCTGCCAGTGTTCAGGGGAGAAGCTGATGATTATCATACTTTTAGCCAAACAAGTGCCTTGTGGGGAACTCTTCTTGAAACTATCTATGTGCCAGACAGAGAATACATATGGATAAAGCCCAGGATCACACTTAACTCCCAGTCTCTAAATTGGGAGGCTAAGTGTTGGCTAACTATTATCAACAGTCGGTTGTTGCTCTCCAGCAACACGACTGATGTCAATCTACCACGGGCGTTAGCGATCTACTATTTCATGGCCCACAGGGATTTTGATGTGGCCAGGCTCCTCCATGATGAGATGCTCATTAGATCACCTGAGTTACTTAAAGGCTTCTACTTCCCTTCTCTATTCACTAGGTTGTGCCGTCTAGCTAAAGTCACTGAAGACCTTAGAGTTGATGGGAAATTGCCACTGAAAGCCCCGTTCCTTGCAAGAAAAATCAGAATTGGGAAAGATCCGGTGGTGAATGTTGATGAATCTGATGATGATGATGATGCTGAGGCGGCTGATGTCCCACCACCTCCGAGAGTTAAAGAGGCAGGCCCCTCACAGCCCCGTCGGAGTACCAGCATGATAGCTTTGGAGCAGGAGATGGCTGGGTTGCATACCTCAGTTACTGATTTGGGTGACCGCGTAGATGCGGTGGCTGACCGACAGGTGAAGTCGGAGAAGAAATTCTTAGGCTGGCTGAGAGCTCTGGGTCGTGCTTGCAATTTGAACCCAGATACCGTCTCCGATCAGGAGTGATCTTTCAGAGAAGTTCATTTACCTCACTGTTCTTTAATTTTTTATGCCATGAGGACATGTCTACATTTTAAGTGTGGGGTGGGGATACTTTAATGTATGTATATATTTGTAACAGTTTGGCCGTTTGAATTCTTTTTGTGTTTTGCTTTAATTGTTTTTGGTGTTTTGAGTAATAGTCTCATTAGGTAAGTTAAAGTAGGTAAGTGACTTGTCCCGACGACGGATCTCTTTCGACGGGGTTCTTGAGGGACTAAGTCGAGAAAAAAAGGGAATATGGAGACTCTTCCTGATGACGGATCCATTAGACAATTTTCTTGAGGGAAGTAAGTCTAGAGAAAAGACCAAAAAGATCTTTTTTTATTATTTTTAGGTAGTGTAGTAACTCCCCCTTGGTTTTTTTTGGGCCACGGTTCTTTTGCAAGGGTTAAGCTTGAACCAAGTGTAGGTAATTTTTGTTTATTTTGTTTGTTTGTTTTAGTTATCATTGATGGGCTAAGAGCTGAAATAGTAAGAGAGTCCCTTGGCGTTGGTAACCTGAACACAATCGACACTAGAGTGTAACGCCTAGTGTCAATGGTTGAATCTTGCTAAAATGCCTTAAAGTTGTATGTTTGTAGCTAGCTTGAACACTCAAAAGAGAATGTCTTGATAAATCAATCCGGAGTGAGTCATGTGCCATGTGTGTTTGAGGCATACTGTATTCTATAATTTACATTTGATGCCTAGAATTTGCCTTGTGTGTTTGCAAAGCGAAATAGTAGCTTTATTCAGTCTTAGAAGTGATATAGGCATTTCTTTGTTAAGCCAGATATATATAACGTAAACTCACCTGAATGTAATACATCTTAGTTAACCTCGTTGAGCCTATAAGCCTGTTTCTTTGGCAACCCATGGCGAACCTTACCCAATTGTTTGAATAGCCTTCTGTTTGAACCCTTTTACCTCCCATAAGCACTTGAATGGTATTAAAATTATGCAAAAGCAAAAGTGTGGGGTGGTGGTTTGGTTTTTGAGTGGAACCATCAAAGTAGAGAAAAGGTGCAGAGTTTTGAAGATTAAAAGAATAAGAACCACAGGAAAAAAAAAGGAAAAATGAGTAAATGTAGTAATCGATAAGTAGTAGTTTGTTACAATTGCACCTAATGGATGGGGATGTTGTAAATAAAAAGTAGTGGAGTGTTTGGTTGACATAAGTATGGTTTGAAGGTTAATGTAATTGTATTAAAAGTGCTTAGGGAGGTTAGTCACTATATCCAAATATATCTTACCCGTCCTTTAGCCTACAGTACAACCAAGTGAAGTCCTATTGATCTTAGATTGAGTGGGCTCAATTAGTAGAGTAGTACACTACGGGCAAGCCTATGGTGCATCTTTGTGGCATGTGAATGTTCTTTTGGAGAGTGAGCGAATTTTTGTCCATTTGAGTTCCTAAGTGTTTTAATCATATTAAGTGTGGAACTACTCTCTTGTGTGATGTGAGGGCATGTGATTCATAAAGAAAAGGTAAGTCTTGACTCTTGTATAGAGTAGTTTGAGTAAGTGTGAATGTTGCATGGTACGAGAGATTCGACTTTTGAGGCAAAGGTTGTTCACTACTAGGTGCAACTTTGATAAATTGTTCAAGGTATGAGTCGTTAAGAGAAAAGCTTAGGGAAGGAACGTTGATAGAGTGTGGTGGATTGCTAGAAGACTAGCAATGATTTAAGTGTGGGGTATTGATATTAGGCTATAAAGATGATATTTACACCTTAATATTACCATGCTTTATTGTTGTTTTATAGGCAAATTGATAACAAAATGCTCTAAATGGTGTTCTTTTGCTTCGCAGGGAATATTCTAAGCGAGGAAGCACTACGGAGTGTTTTGGAGGAAATAATGTGTAGAAAACGCCCAAATCAAGAAGTACCCGAGCACAAAGAAGCAAAAATGGACTGAGTGAAATCTATCGCGACCGCGGTGGAACCGTGGCGGATCAAGTGTTCGAGGCAGAATGTTCAGCATTCACTGCAATTGAGCCGCGATCTTGCCGCGACCGCAGTGAACTGTTCACGTGCCAGAAAGTTTAGGGACCAAAGTGTAAATCGGAAAAAATTTGTTCCAAACCCATATAAGCTTTAGAAGCTCGTCCAAGACATGTTTAAGCTTGTTTTTAGACTACTTTGGAGGCAAGAACAAGTGTGAGAAGAGTAACAAAATATTAGAATTCTTCTCTCTTCTCTTGATTATTGCGATTACCCATTATGAATAATTTAGTAGTTTTATCTTGTTTTGTCATGAGTAGCTAATTTCCTAGTCTAGGGTTTTAATGGAACCTATTGAAGGATGAACTTCTTGTTATGTTAATATAGTTTGCCCAGTTTAATCTCTATTTGTTCAACTATGTGCTTGTTGTAGTTAATTGACAGGATCCTCAATTAGTTGTACCTATTTAGTATGCATAACTCGAGAGAGAGTGCATATTTAGGTAATTGTTGAACAACACCACTCCCAAAGTATATGAGGGATCAATAATTGAGGGTTTAAAGGTGGAATTAGGGATAACAAAGCCTTGGGTGATATCTAAAGTGAGTTGTAATAAATAAAGCTAGCTAGCGTAACTCGGAAGAGTGCGTCTAGTAAATTGTCGTGGTTACTCGGGAGAGATTTACGGTAATAAGAGTGCTCATGATTGATAGACATTATTGGGTGAATCTATGTGAAACATAACCGGAAGGGATTCCATCAATAGGGGAAATCATAACTTTAGAACCTTCTCTTAATTGTTTACAACTCAATCATAGTTAGTTTTGAGTTGCTTATTCACATTCATTCATAGTTAGTAGAAATACCATCAACTGTTATTTACAACGTTTGGGAAGTTGATTCCGTAGAATTTAGTAAGTCTAACAAGAGTAATTGATAGGTTAATTCTTTGTGGGTTCGACTCTGGGATAAATACTCAGATTATATTTGCAACGTCCGCGTGTCCTTTTTATAAGGCATAATTGAGCGAGAATAATTTAAGAAATCTTCTAGAGGTCGTTCATCTATAACTTTAAATTGGCTTACATCTTCCTATTTTCAATTATAAAAAGCGAAGGCAACTATGCAGAAATTTGAGCGCCAGATGAGCCGCCATCTTTGAAAATTAGCTAGATTCATTCCCATGGTCTTTCCTTTTCACAAGTTGATGTAATTTCATTTGATAGTAAGTTCTGACAATAGAAGAAAAAAATAGAGTTTAATTTACAGTATAAATAATTGTTACACTATCAAGTCAATTAATGATTACCTTTAAATAACTTTTGATTGATCTAATAGTGTAAAAAAATCTTTATTGTTAGTTTGTATATGCACTTATACTAAAAAAAAATACTATTAATAAGTTATTACAAACACTAATATATATAGTTGACTTGTCAATGCAATTCCATCTTGATTCTCCTCTTCAAAGTCCATTTTTAGACCAAAGAAAGACATGGTTTTTTATATTAAACACCCCTTGGCATGTTGTAAAAGAAAAAGTTGGAGTAGTGTTTACCAAGTCCGGTCAAACACCTTAAATTTCCAACTGCTTTTAGTACTTGTAAAGTCTTTGTCTGTTTAGACCGAGGACCTCGATGAGAAATGCATATATATATTATATATATATATATATATATATAAGAGTAGTGCAGCGACCTTGATAATATCCCGTTAAAGGAAAATGAGGTTCTTTGGCATGGTGTTGCTAGTTGGTGCCCTGGTCATTATAGGTGCAGAATGCAACTCTGAAGGTTAAGTATCAAATCAAATAATTAAACTTCAAATATTTATTTGGTAGATGTGCTCTTTAATTTGCCTATTGTTATTGTGTATGTAATGAGCAGGGGATGCTCTTAATGCATTGAAAGTTAATGTGATAGACCCAAACAATGTTCTTCAGAGCTGGGATCCGACGTTAATCAATCCTTGCACATGGTTTCATGTCACCTGCAATGGCGAAAATAGTGTTGTAAGAGTGTAAGTCACCATTTAATTAACTAATCTAGAGTTAGGTTCAGTTATAGAATTTGTTCGCACCACATATCTTGGTTTCATCTGTACTGTAATCGGATTTATATGTTATTTTCTTGTTGATATTGGCATTAACATTGATATACCAATGAAGGGACCTAGGTGCTGCTAATCTTACTGGGACACTGGTACCTGAGTTGGGAATGTTAGCCAATCTTCAATACTTGTAAGATCAATTAATGATTTAGCACGTCTTGTTGCATTTTGATGAATATCTATTTAATTGAGATGTAAATGTTTTTCTTGTTTAATACACGGGCAGGCAACTTGAATATAATTCATTTAGCGGAGCAATTCCAAGCCAATTAGGCAACTTGACAAGGCTATTGAGCTTGGGATTAGAGAATAACAAGCTGAGTGGCCCTATCCCATCTTCTCTTGGCAATTTAAAATCATTGCGATGGATGTAAGTCATTGCTTGTTCCATTTTTTCTTCAAGAAAAAAAAGGTCCTAACTAGAGTGTATAATTTGGTGTAATTTTTCGTTGCAGGAGATTGAACGGTAATAAATTATCAGGGAAAATTCCAATCACAGTCTTGAAGCTCATCTACTGGGGAAATTTGCAGCTACTGTGAGCCGCTACATATTCATTTAATTTAGTTTCCAATACCGAACTGCAGACCATAGGAATTTTATGATATTCTTTTTTTGAACAGGAATGTTTCAGACAATAAACTAGCAGGGACGGTCCATCGTGCTAACCAAACAGGTATAAATAAAGAGCCAATTATACATTTTTTGAGATTACAACTGACGGTTTATATATGTAACTTGGAAATGAGAGGGTGTTATTATCTTATGTAGGATTTGCAATTACAACAATAGTTCAAGACGTCAAGGCCTAAGATCATTAACCTTTGGAATTGGATTGTCCTGCAAAGTTGCTTTTCTATATTAAAATGTGTCAAGTCAAGTCAACTCAAGATTTTATATTTATGATTTTCAATAATCAAAATGTGATTGGAATACTTGAGAAGAAGAATTCTCTGTAATAATAATAGTAGTACTTGTATTTGACTTGATTGATTGGCTTAACCTTTCTTCTTCGACAAAATGAAATTCCCACGTCTTAACTGTCAACCGGGGGGGGGGGGGGGGAATTAAGTAGAGAAAGAAACGTTTACTACTGGCTGTAATTTACAGCTATTCATGTTGCCAGGGTAATTTTTTAAACTGAAATTTGAAGCTTCAAACATGGCCGTTTTCCCTATTTACTTGTCAATGATCTTTAGTAAATGATCTGAAAAGTACATATCATTGAGTATAGTTAAATAGTAGTGCTAGAAGGTATATCATATGCTAAAGATTTTGATCCAAAAAACAAAAAGGAAACAAGGAAAAGACAGGTTGCACATAGATCTTGCAGGAATTTGGCTTGGGAAAATATTGACACGCATTGTTTGCAGAATTCTTTGGCATTTCTACCAAGAGAAATTTTCCAAGTCTTCAACCCGTTACCTACATGTCAGAAAGAAGCATATCTATCATTATGCCAAAGCTCGATCTCATGAATCTTGACATATAGATCCAATCTTGTTCCGAAGATAGCAGAAGATACAGAAGTCTTGGAAGGGGAAAGAGAATTCAATTAAAGAGACATGAGGAATGTAGCTCGCGAAATGATCACTATATTATACCCGTTTTATGTAGAAGATGCAGGGGCTTGACCTTTTTTAAGCAAGCTTACAAGCTTTGCTCTGCTGGTTAAAATAAATTGTAAACGTCTGTGATCACGTTCAACTATGCCTTATAAAATGGATAAAGCGGTCGTTGCAAATATATTCCGGTTAACAAGTCCGGAGTCGAATCCCACAGGGAATTAACCTATCGATCACAGCTATTGGACTCACAGAAATTCACGTATTCAATCTTCAAAGATATTTGAGTAACAAATTGGGTGTTTATTAACTAAATTCTATGTAATAAAAATACAGTAATTAAGAACTAGCTATAAACTGGTTGTACACAAGAATGAGAATGGTCTAAGGTTCTGATTTTCCCTCTTGTCGGAATCTTTTCCACTATGTTTTCTATAAATTTGTCTTAGCCTTCTCTATCGATCATGAGCACTTTGATTGTCGTAACTCTCTCCCGAGTAATTACAATAATATACTAGACATATTCTCCCGAATTACGCTAGCTGGCCTTAGTTACAACTCACTTAGATCGCACCCAAGGTTTCATTATCCCTAATTCCACCTTTAAACCCTTCGTATTGATCTCTCATATACGTTAGGAGTGGTGATGTTCAACAACTACCTAAATATACACTTCTCCCGAGTAATGTCTACTAAATTGGCACAGTCGATTGAGGGCCCTTTAATCAACAGCAATCACAATATAGTTGAACAAACAAAGAAAATACTATGACAAATCTATATTAACATATCAAGAAATTCATCCTCCAAGATGTTCCATCAAAACCCTAGATTAAGAGTTTAGCTACACATAACCGTTTTCACAATTATAACAGTAGAATTCATCATTAGTGATCAAAACAAGAGGAAGAAAGGTAAAACTCTATGCATAATCTTCCGCCTTGCCTCTTGCCTCTTCTAATCCTTCAAAAACCTTGATACCTTCTTTTTGGGAGAGCTGGGCTTCTTATAGGTTAAGGAGACTTGCCCCCGAACTTACGAATTTATCCTTGAAATAAAGTTCCTCGAAGTGACGAGTGCGGCCGCACTCGGACCGCGGTCAGACCGCGCATATTGCATTCTTTTCTGCCTGACGAGCGCGGCCTGAGTGCGGCCGCGGTTGGCCCGCGCTCATGGAACTCAATTGTTTTCCATTTTTTCCTTCTTCTTTCATGCGCACTCACCTCCGATTGGTCTTCCTTGCTCCAAATTAACTCCAAACATTGTTTAATGTCCTCATAATTAGGACTTGCTCCTCCAAAGTACAAAATTCATAATTAGAGTCATTTGTTGTCATTTTAACCTTCATATAGCAATAAAGTATAGCTAAGTTGGGGCGTAAATGGTCGTTAAACTACATGAATATAGCCTATTATCAACACCCCACACTTAAATCATTGCTCGTCTCTGAGAAATCAACTATACTCTACAGAGGTTCCTTCACTAAGCAACTTTTCTAACTCATCACACCAAGAACATATCACATGGATTGAGTCCAGTAGTGTAACATCTTTGCCTCAAGAGTTGACTCTCACATGCCGCGCAATATTCCTAACTTACTCACTTACTCTACACAGAGGTCAAAATGTACCTTTCCTTCATGAATCAAGTGCTCTCACATCGCAACCGAGAGTAGTTCCACAAGCAATAAACATTCAGAACAATTAGGAACTCAAATAGATAAAATTCACTCACTCTCAGAAAGAACATTCATATGCCACAAACAATGCACCAATGGCTTGCCCGTAGTGTACTACTCTACTAATCGAGCTCATTCAGTCTATGATCAAATAGAACTTTATTTGATTGTAACGTAGGCTAAGGGACGGGTAGGATACATTTGGATATAAGAGTGACTACACCTCCCTAAGCACTTTAATACATATACTTTCACATTTAGAACCCCACACTTATGTCGAACCATGAATCCACCTATACATCAACATATATTAACTCCCTGCTTCTTTAGGCACACTTAATCAAGAGCCACTACTTATCAAAGAATATTTTTCACAACAATATAACTATTTTATTTTTATTTTTTTCCATCCAAGTGGTTCTTACTTATTCAAAACCGTGCACCTTTCTCCTGATTTCATTAGTTCCACTCAAAAGTGAAACCAACCACCCCACACTTTAAGTTTTACCAGTTCATCACAATTCAAGTACTTATGGAAGGTGAAAAGGTTCAAACAGATGGTTCATTCAAACAATTGGGTAAGGCTTGTAATGTGGTTGCCAATGAATCAGGATTACTGGCTCAAAGGGGTTAACTATGGTACATAACGATTAGGCGGGTAACATATACATATCTGGTTCAACAAAGAAATGTCTATACCACTTCCAAGATTGAACAAAACTACTATTTCGCTTTGCAAACACACAGTGCAAGTTCTAGGCATCAAATGCAGTGCACAGAATACAATAAATCTCACACACATAGCACATGACTCACTCCAGATTGAATTATCAAAACACTCTCGTCTGAGTACTTAAGTCAAGTTAAGAACATACAATTTAAGGCACTCTAACACGAATCAACAACTGAGACTGAGCGTCACACTAAAGTATCTACTGTATTCAAGGCATAACAATGTTAAGAGATCCTCTTTCCATCTCAGATCATAGCCCATAAGTACCTAAAAATAAAAAATAAACCAACTACACCCAGTTCAAACAAAATCCTTGGAAAAGAACCGCGGTGCAAAGAAAAATCAAGGGGGGATTGATACACTACCTACAAAAAAAATCTTTTCTTCTCTTTTTCTTGTTTTTTTTATATCGACTTAGACCCTCAAGAAACCCATCGAGTGATATCCATCGTCGGGACAAGTCGAACCATCCAGTTAGACAACTAACTAAAAATCAAAATCAAGCTATGTTCCTATATATATATATACAACATACAAATGACGTATCCCCCACCCCACGCTTAAAAAGATGGCATGTCCCCATGTCATACAAAATAAAGCAATACGAGGTAAAGGAACTTCCCTGACAAATCAGTCTTTATTGGAGACAGTGCCAGGGTTAAGGTGACACGCCCGCCCCAACGCACGCATCCAGCCATGATTTTCTTCTCTGATTTAGCATTTTGGGAGGCCAAGGCATCAACTCTAGTCCCCAAGTCTGTGACACTGGTACACAGCCCTGCCATTTCCAGCTCTAAGGCCGCTAACCGAGTAACCCGACTGACCTAGACGGTCCTGCGGCTTCCGCAACATGCTCATGGGTGGGCGACTCAGCTCCCATTTCCTCCTGCTCATCATCTCCCTCCTCAGGTGCATCCGAGTCATCACTATTAGCACCTCCAGGTGTCATAGGGTCCTTCCCACTAGTCACCTTATCTGCTCGAAACTTTGCCTCTTTCTGCACTTTTCCATCCACGCTCAAGTTCTCCGATACCCGTGTTGCCCTGCATAGCCTAGTGACTACGGAAGGGAATAAGAAACCATACCGCTTCACCGGACAACGAGTAAAAATCTCCTCATGAATAATCTTGGCCATGTCAAATTGTGGCCATTCATGAAACACCAAATCAATGCAGCTTGAGGACCATTCACTTTAGTGGTGTTGGAGGATGGGAGCAAATGGTTATTGATGACATACATCCAACACTTCTCTTCAAAGGTTAGTGCCGCCGAATGGAACTTATACCCATGTATCATCCACACAATTTCCTTTCCAGGCACATATATTATTTCAAAGAACAAATCCCACATGGTGTATCGTCTGTCATGGGCTTCATAGTAGTCTTCTACCTCCACCACAGGTGCGGGCAGCCGGTATGCTCTATGAAATGGCCTCAATAAAGGCGTCCATATTCTTCTTGCGCACTGTGTACATACCATTAACATGTTCTTTCATGTTGGCGTAAAATTCGCGCACAACCATGAAATATGCTTCATCCTGTTCTTCAAAGAAAATATCCAGCCCGCGCCAGACCAACTCATTGTACAAGTTGGGACAGCCAAATTAGAGAGGCCCTATATCAATACCCCTCTCCGGTATGGACTTCTTGGATGCCTTGTCACCAAAACGGTCCTGAGCTGCGCTAGAGATGAACCTGTAACTATCATACGGACGAGCACAAGTTGAAGCGCGTGCTCTAGAGGATCCAACTTGGCCACTGGATGAAGCACCGGTGGTCCGGCATTTCTTGGAGGGTGCCATACTACCTGAAATAAAGAACATCAACATCGAAACACACGAGATATGAACCAAAGGCGGTTACTCAGACTTCATCCACACAATTGGTCACAATTTACATTAACTACTCACTGTGGTAATTTACCAAACACATTATATACACCATTCACCGGAGGCCCTAATTAACAAGGTGATAGGCCAAACTCAACCACAATTGCCCCAATGTCAACCACACATGTCAAGAGACACGTCTACAACAACCTCAACAAACCCACTAGCATACAAGATCACAATACAAAAGAAATCTACTAAAGAAAAAAAAAGAAAACTACTACATAACTAAGAACTCAAATATCCCAACAATAATTGAAACAAATGATCTTACCTGGTAGAGTTGTAGTTAGGGTAGGTGAGGGGACTGTTAGAAGAGAGAAGAGGGTGGAGTGGATGTGATTTGATCATGAATGGGGAGTATGAGGGTTGAGGTTCTTTGGGAAGAAGGGGAAGGGTTGTGAGTTTTGATTTGTAAGGGAGGGTTTAGGTGCTAGGCATGAATAGATTAAGAGAGAGAGAGGTAAGGGATATCAGGTTGGGGAGGGGGGTTAAGTTAGAATATTAGAATTAAAAGAACAAAACAAATAAAAAAATAACTTTAACTAAAGTGGCAGGCGGAGATACGTGCGCGGTCTAACCGCGGTCCGAGTGCGGTCACGCACGTAAGGCAGAATATTTGGCATTTTGCGCGGTCTGAGCGCGGCCACACACGAGGAGGAACACCTAATGCAGAATAGTTGGTGTTTTGCATGGTCTGAGCGCGGCCACGCACTTGGGCTTCGATATTTCTCAATTCTTTACCTATCCCTTCAGCACCTGATGGACTTATCACTCACCGAAGCTCACCTGAACTTATTAGTACTTACAAAAATTAAAATAATAAATTCTAACTACCCTAAAAATCATTACGCATGGGTTGTGTCCCATGAAGCACGTGATTTAACGTCGCGGCACGACGCAGATAAGCGCATTTAAAGTCTACTCAACTTTGGAGGATCGATCAAGTGGGTCACTGACACTTCCTTTGCTTCCTCCATGCCCACATAATATTTCAACCTATGCCCATTGACTTTAATTTACGAGAGTCATTACTTGCAGCAATCTCTACAGCACCTGTAGGGTGAATTTCAACCACACAAAAAGGTCCTGGCCATCATGATTTCAATTTGCCTGGGAACAACCTCAGGCGGGAGTTGTATAGCAATATCGTATCTCCAGGTTTAAAATTCTGCTCAATAATATTCCTATCATATATCATCTTCATTCTCTCCTTGTATAATCTTGTGCTCTCAAAAGCGTGATATCTAAACTCATCAAGCTTGTGTAATTCTGTTACTCTACTTGTTCATGCCGCTTCACTATCAAGATTCAACTGCCTCAATGCCCACCAAGCTCGATGCTCCAACTCTACGGGTAAATGACATGACTTTCCAAACACCAACTTGTATGGAGACCTGCCAATTGGAGTTTTGAAAGCGGTTTGATACACCCAAAGTGCTTCATCTAACTTCCTTGCCCAATCTGTTCTAGTTGCATTCACAGTTTTAGTTAGCACACTCTTTATTTCTCTATTCGGGACTTCCACTTACCCGCTTGTTTGTGGATGATATGGGGTGGCAACCTTGTGGCATACATCATACTTCTCCAACAACTTTGTAAAGGCTTGATTGCAAAAGTGAGTGCCTCCGTCACTGATTATTGCCCTTAGGGTGCCAAATCGGGTGAAAATGTACTTTCTCAGAAAACCAATTACCCCTTTTGCATCATTTGTAGGGAGTGCTGTAGCTTCCACCCATTTGGACACGTAGTCCACAACGACGAGTATGTACTTGTTTCCATATAAGCTGACGAACGGTGCCATGAAGTCGATCCCCCATACATCAAACACTTCTACCTCCTAAATTGGGTTCATGGGCATCTCATGTCTGTGGGAAGTGTTTCTGATTCATTGGCATTCATCACAGCCCTTTATCCATACATGTGCATCTTTGAACAGTGTTGGCCAGTAGAAACCTGATTCCAAGACTTTCGCAGCCATTCTTACTCCCTCGAAGTGCCTACTATATAGTGATACGTGACATGCCTGCAAAATAGAAGACTGTTCTATCTCGGGGATACATCTTAGGATCATGTTATCAATACAAATCCTGAATAGATAAGGCTCATCCCAATAATACATGCAACAATCATGAAAGAACTTTTTCTTTTGAACAGAGGAAAGTTCATAAGGAACAATACCGCTCGCTATGTAGTTTACAATGTCTGCATACAATGGCGCTTCCTCGAGACTCGTGGCTAGTAGTTGTTCATCTGGAAAAGTTTCCAGAATCTTTTCTACCTCAACCTTCTTTTCAACTCCTTCTAGCCTGGATAAATGTTCAGCTACTTGGTTCTCCATTCCCTTTCGGTCATGGATCTCCAAATCAAATTCTTGCAGCAGTAGCACCTATCGAATCAGGCGCAGTTTTGACTCCTTCTTTTCAATTAAGTACCTGAGAGCAACAAGGTCAGTATAAACAATTACCTTTGAGCCTATCAGGTAAGACCTGAACTTGTCAAATGCGAACACCGCTTCCAGTATCTCCTTCTCGGTCACAGTGTAATTTAGCTTGGCTCCACTTAACGTTCTACTTGCGTAGTATATTGGATGCATGATTTTATCTTTTTGCTGCCCAAAAACTGTTCCCACGGCATAGTCACTAGCATCACACATCAGCTCAAATGGTTGCTCCCAATTAGTGGAAACTATGATAGGTGTTGTTACCAGTCTCTTCTTTAATTCCTCAAAAGCTATACTGCAGTCATTAAAAAACACAAAAGGGTGATCTTTTTCAAGCAATTTACACAAGGGGTTAGAAATTTTGGAAAAATCTTTTATATATCTCCTATAGAAACCGGTGTGCCCAAGAAAACTTCTGATTGCTTTGACGAAGATGGGTGGTGGAAGCTTTTCTATGACATCAACTTTTGCACGATCCACCTCAATACCTTTACTTGACACTAGATGCCCCAAGACATACCTTCTTGTACCATGAAATGGCACTTTTCCTAGTTGAGTACCAGATTAGTCTTGATACACCTTTTCAAAACTCGCCTCAAGTTCACAAGGCAATTATCGAATGAATTACCCACCACTGAGAAGTCATCCATGAAAACCTCTGTTATCTTTTCTACCATATCTATGAAGATGGCCACCATGCACCTTTGGAATGTGGCGGGTGCGTTGCATAGGCCAAAGGGAATTCACCGAAAAGCATAGATTCCATAAGGGCAGGTGAACGACATTTTCTCTCTATCCTCTAAGGCAATGGAAATCTGATTATACCCCTAATACTCATCTAGGAAGCAAAATTGAGACCTTCCTGCCAGTCTATCTAGCATTTGATCAATGAATGGCAGTGGGAAATGGTCCTTCCTGGTAGCTAAGTTCAACTTCCTATAATCCATACAGATTCGCCAACCTGTGACTATTCGTGTAGAGATCAACTTGTTCTTCTCATTTTTCACTACCATCATACCTCCCTTTTTCGATACACACTACACTGGGCTAACCTAGTTGCTTTCATATATAGGGAATATGATTCCCGCATCTAACCATTTAATCACTTCCATTTTTACCAATTCTTTCATGTTGGGGTTTAACCTTTTTGATGTTCTCTGGATGGTTTGTGCCCATATTCAAATATAATCTTATGCATACAAAAGGCTGGGTTGATCCCCTTAATGTCTGCAATGGTCCACCTAATTGCAGTCTTGCACTCAGTTAGTACCTGTAACAGTTATTGTGCCTGCACATCTAACAAACTAGCTGAGATAATAACAGGTAAATTTGAGTCAGGTCCTAAGAATGCATACCAGAGATGGGATGGCAGGGGCTTCAGTTCCAACTTTAGTGGCTTTTCTATTGACGGCTTAGCTGGAGGAGTTTTTCTTTCCTCCAAGTGTAAAGGCTCAAATTCAAGCTCCCTTTTTTCCAAAAACATTGGCCTTCAAGAGCAAGTACCCACTCTGCCAAGTCTTCACCATTAGCTTCGTATAAGTTCATGACAAGCTGCTAGAAGGTCTTTAATGCTCAATGCTCCATCGTCCTTCTCCAATACTACATCCACCGTATCTATTATAGAGCAATTGGCAAATTGACTGGGTCTGCGCATAGATTTCTGCACGTTGAATGTTATCTCTTCATTGTTTAGTCTCATCTTGAGTTCTCCAGTTTCACAAGCAATTAAATCTCTCCCAGTTGCCAAGAATGGTCTTCCCAAAATTATGGGAATTTCCTCGTCAACCCGACAGTCAAGGATGAAAAAATCTGCTGGGAACACAAACTTCCCAACATGCACCAATACATCATCTAGAATCCCAGAGGGCCTCTTCACTGTTCAGTCAGCCAGCTGTAATAGCATAGACGTGGGTCTATCTCTTCCAGTGCCTAGCCTTTTGTAGATAGCTAGGGGCATAAGGTTTATGTTTGCTCCTAGATCACACAATGCCTTAGCAAAAGCAAAGTTGCCTATTGTGCAAGGGATTGTGAAACGCCCTAGATCAGACAGCTTCTCAGCTATGGGTCTTGTAACAATAGCACTACAGGTCTGAGTTAGCGTAACCATGGTCTTGAAAGTCAAACTTATGGGATATCAAGTCCTTCATCATCTTTGCATAACCAGGCATCTCCTTTAAAGCATCAATCAATGGAATGTTTACCTGAATCTGCTTCAACATCACAAAAAATTTCTTGTATTGCTCATCTTTCTGATACTTGGCCAATCTCTGTGGGAATGGTGCTGGAGGTCGCTTCTTCCCTATGATTTGGTTCCTCTCTTGTTCGGGCACTGCTTCTACTATCGGTTCCGGTGCAGCCTCAATCTCTTTCACAACCTCTTCTTCTTTATTGGTGTTCTCTTGTGCATTTTGAATCGTCACCTCAGTTAAACCTACTGAATCATCTATCTCAATGGGTACTGGCACCAGTGTCTCAGTCGGTCTGCTTTTGCGAGAAATTTCTTGCTCCAGATCTAGGTCTCTACCATTTTAGAGACTCACTACCATCAGTTGCTTTGGGCCCTTCTCTTTTGGATTGATTTGGGTGTCTGCAGGTAACGTCCCATGAAGAAGATTATTTAAGGCCATGGAAATTTGTCCTAACTGGATCTTAATATTCTTAATTGCTGACTCATGTGAGTCTACTCTGTCAGCTAGTTTTCTAGTGGACCCAATCACTTGTTGCATCATCCCCTCAAGTTTAGCAAACTCATCTTCATGCCTCACAATCTATTGTTGTGGAGGTTGTTGGTAAGTTTGCTACTGATTTTGTTGATGTACCCTTGTTGCCTTTGGTAAGGCACCATTTTCCCATGTGGTCGCATAGCCCCATGATTGTTGTTGTTATTGTACTATTGCTGAGCTGGTCTGTTTTATTGATTCTGCTGACCCCAATTCTGACCACCTGGTCTTGGTCCCCCGTACTTGGACACATAATTCATGTTCTCCTGATATTGTTGATTATCACCTTCAGCACTCTATGAGCAGACATATGGTTGATTAATGCATGTTGTACATAGACCCCCATTGGTTGCATCAACTATGTGTACCTACTGCTTCTGGCTTGATTCTTCAACCTTCTTAGTGAGGATGCTCATTTGTGTCAATAGAGTGACCATATTTTCAGCCATGGAGTTAGCCGGGTCTAGAGCTACTAAGTGAACCACAAGAGTGATTCGAGCATTTCTTGTTGTCCATCCTGAGTTTTGTGCCATCTTGTCAAGTAGAATCTTGCTCTCTCTGAATGTTTTTTCTCAAAAATGCTTCACCTGCTGAAACATCAACATTGGCTTTCAAACTATCTACCAAACCCATGTAAAATCTCTGCCCCAACATCTGCTCCGGAATACCATGATGTGGACATGTAACCAGCAGACCCTTGAATCTCTCCCACATTTCGTGTAGCGTCTTAGTTGGTTTTTGATTAAAGATCAATATCTCATCAATTTGCTGAGCAGTCTTGTTGGGTGGATGAAATTTGCTCAAATATTGCTTGACTAATTCCTCCCAAGAAGTGATGGAGTTAATAGGGAGTGAATTAAGCCAAGTCTGGGCTGCTCCTATCACTGAGGATGGAAACAACAACAAACGTATTGCTTCCGGTGTCATATTGTGTTGTCTCTGCATGGAACAGACTGACAGGAAGTTCTTTAGATGCTACTAAGGATCTTCAACATATGACCTAGAGAATAGTCCCTTATTCTACAACAGATGTAGCATGTTGTTTGTAATCTGGAATGAATCTGCTTGTATCTGAGAGACTACAATGGCAGCTGCCAAGTTGTCAGTGGTGGGTTGTGCCCAATCATATAGTGTTGCTTCTGGCACAAGAGGTGCCACACCCCGATCGTTTGGGTCATTCACGTTGTTTCTGTTGTTTAGATTATCGTCTTCCATGTCTGGTTCAAGGTTTTTGGTTGTGTTTTGTTGTTGTTTGATAATGCTTCGAGCAATTCTCTAGTTCTTGAGGAGTTTCTAGGCGTGCACCTGTAACAACCACGACTATAAACGTTAGAATTTCAATGATCAGTTTAAATTGAAGAAAATTGACTATACTAAGATTTTTTTTTGCACTTCTTTGTAACTGCAATCAATAACACCGTTAACTCTCCGGCAACGGCGCCAAAATTTGATAATGCCCAACTATACCTTATAAAAAAGACAAAGCAGTCACTGCAAATATATTCCGATTAACAAGTCCGTAGTTGAATTCCACAGGGAATTAACCTATCGATCACAGCTATTGGACTCACAGAAATTCACGTATTCAATCTTTAGAGATATTTGAGTAACAAATTGGGTGTTTATTAACTAAATATTATGTAATAAAAATGCAGTAATTAAGAACTAGCTATAAACTGGTTGTACATAAGAATGAGAATGGTCTAAGGTTATGACTTTCCCTTTTGTCGGAATCCTTTTCGCTATGTTTGCTATAAATTTGCCTAAGTCTTCTCTATCGATCATGAGCACTCTAACTGTAGTAACTCTCTCCCGAGTAATTACAACAATATACCAGATATATTCTCCCGAATTACGCTAGCTGGCCTTAGTTACAACTCACTTAGATCGCACCCAAGGTATCGTTATCTCTAATCCCACCTTTAAACCCTTCGTATTGATCCTTAATATACGTTAGGAGTGGTGTTGTTCAAAAACTACATAAATATACAATCTCTCTCGAGTAATGCATACTAAATAGGCACAGCCGATTGAGGGTCCTTCAATCAACAGCAATCACAATATAGTTGAACAAACAGAGAAAATACTATGGCAAATTTATATTAACATATCAAGAAATTCATCCTTCAAGACGTTCCATCAAAATCCTAGATTAAGAGTTTAGCTACGCATAATCTTTTTCACAATCATAACAATAGAATTCATCATTAGTGATTAAAACAAGAGGAAGAAAGGTAAAACTCTATGCCGAATCTTCCGCCTTGCCTCTTTCCTCTTCTTGCCTTCAATAATCCTTCAAAAACCTTGATACCTTCTTTTTGGGTGAGTTGGGCTTCTTATAGGTTAAGGAGAGTTGCCCCCGAACTTACAAATTTACCCCTGAAATAAAGTTTCTCGGAGTGACGAGCGCGGCCGCGCTCGGACCGCGATCAGACCGCGCATATTGCATTCTTTTATGCATGAGCCTGAGCGCGGTCACGGTTGGCCCGTGCTCATGGAACTCAACTGTCTTTCATTTTTTCCTTCTTCTTTCACGCGCACTCACCTTCGATTGGCCTTCCTTGCTCCAAATTAACTCCAAACACTGTTTAATGTCCTCATAATCAGGACTTGCTCCTGCAAAGCACAAAATTCATAATTAGAGCCATTTGTTGTCATTTTAACCTTCATATAGCAATAAAGTATAGCTAATTTGGGGCGTAAATGGTCGTTAAACTACATGAATATAGCCTATTATCAGTCTACGGATCAAGGATTTCATGGTTGCGGGTGCCGCTCAGTTTAAATTTTAATGCCAAACTAGCATCAGTCAAGGATATTGAAAAAGAGTGATATTTGGTCGATTCGTTATATTTTGAACTAGTCAAATTGTCAGCGCTTCGCGCGGTTACCATATGTCTTGTTATAAATTTAATAGAGATAGAAGAAATACAAATTTCATGCATTAGACAAGAATATAAATATTTTCTCCTATTAACTTTAAAACTCACAATATTACCAGTTCCAAAAGTTATTCGTGCACTTCACTAACTCTTCAATAGAAGATTCAAATTGAAAATCATTTAAGAAAAAGATTTTAAATAAAATGAATCAAAGCTAATTTCCTAAAATCCTTAAAATATTATCATATATTCACTAAGCTTAAGCGTAATTTCTTCGATAGGAGAAGTTTCATGCTAAAAAGGGCAGTTTATAGTAGAAGCTTTATGCTGAAAAGGGCAGTTTATTGAGCTCCTCCCTCAAAACATCTCGTAAAAAAATTATTAATTTTCTTAAATTTAATTTTTTTCTCTCGTAATTCAGTGTCAGTTTTTCTTATATACAAACTTTTAGATGAATTAAAAGCATACAATATCATATCATATCATTCAATAGATATAGAAGAGCGTTGGCAAGCATATTATTGTGTCTTGGTGTTCTTCAACCAGCTTTTGCTGCAACTTCGCTAATATGAAACGTGGATCCAAAACGAATTTGACGGGTTCAGAAATAACTCACGACTTTCACGAACCAAATATACATAAAAATAGTGAAACTCATGCTAAAGAAAGACGCCCATCTTATTGGTGATAATTAAAAAGGACTGTCTATACAATGGAAGATATTGGTAAAAAAAAAATCGAAATAATCAAAATAGAGAAGTGTTTAAAAATCCTAAAAGCTTATTGCACTAATGGACACAATATAATCAAAAATATGAAACCGTTGTAAATCAAGGACCAAGTACACGCAATTTTATAAAAGCAAACTCTTTCTTTTTATATATTGTTTACTCATTTATTTTCACCATTTACGCTTTCCTTTTTTAGTCTTCTTTTTTCTCCTCTTCCAATCTATCACACAAACATTCCAAAATACTACATAAAATATTAGTTCCCCTATTCACAAAAATTGCAGCGTTTTAACATCATATATTCAGTATGTTATGTTATGATAAAATTGTCTCTTTCTAGTGCAAGAAGAAGAAAATACAAAATAATCTCAAAGTGATTTGTAGTATTACTTATTTTTTAGGTTCGTTTATACTTGCTAACGTTTTAGTTTACACGTTCTTTTAAAAATAAGATTACACAATAAAACTACAACATTGTGTGGGTTCAAATACAAAAGGAGTTTTTTCTTAAAATACTGTTGCAAAGGCACATAACCAATATATACATAAAAAAGAAAAGACAATACTTAGCTGAGGTATTTCTGATCCAGAAGGCTAAAAATAGATCCTATCACATGCTCCAAATGAGATCTTAAGACAAATTGGTTGATTAAAGAGCAAGAGCAGTTACAATTTTTTGTAGAGAGGGCAAAGAGTTGTGTCTATTAAAAATAAAATTACTTGCTTGAATAAAATTAATTGCTTGACGAATGGCAGACTGGCAATTACGTTTGGAGAAAGTCACCCTCAACTTGATCAAATCTGCCCGCATCAATTATCATTACTTATCCCGCATTGTCTTACCTTATCTTGATATGTCTTTGTCCCTGCTTTGACATGATTTTGCCTTATCATTGTTATGCCAACCCGTACATCCAAGTGAAATGCGTCTTGCCTCCGTTCAAGGTGCGTTTGTCAACCCCGCATAGTCCGTCATGCTGAGCTGCCAATCATGATGTTGCCCTATTTTTCAAGTTGTGTGCCAAGGCCATCATGAAAATCCTTGTCACAACCTACACCTGCCGAGGAACTTTGTTAAGGGGCTAACAAACCACACCCACCCGAAGAATTCGTCGTCCTCGATGAAATAATTTTCGCATTTTTTCAGCACCACCATAGGCCCTAAGTATGCTGCTTGCTACTCATGTTCTTCCTCGTTTGGCTCATCTTCACCTTTTTCTTCAGTAAACAAAGTTGTAAGTCGTTCAAGTTTTGGACAGTCCCTCGCCATGTGTGGTCCTTTGCAAATAAAACAGTCATCAAACTTGTTGTTTTGTCCCTTGTTTGTCGAAGGTCCAACATATTGTTTTTCCTTTCCATTTTCATTGCCCTCAACAGCATTTCCCTTGTCATTTTCATTTTTTCTCCACTCTTTTGCCTTGTACTTGTTCCCATTTTTAGACTTTGAAGTAGTAGAGAAATCAAAACCATCTTGTCCCAACCGAAAATCACCCAATGCATCCGCAGCAGCTATGGTACTAGGAAGGTCTTTCACGTTCTGCCTTCGCAATTCCATCTGCGCCCATGACTGCAACCCGTAAAGGAAATTGTGTAGGTTGTCTTCCTCGGACATGTTGCTTATATCCAGCATCAAAGAACTGAAATCTTTAACATAATCCCTGACCATTCCAGTTTGCTTCAACTTCTTCAAACGATCTCTAGCAATCCAGCCCACATTGCTAGGAAAAAATTGATCCTTCAACTCTTTTTTCAGTACTTCTCAAGAGTCAATTTTTTACCTACCAGCACTTACATCGTCTGCCATGCGCGTCCTCCACCAAAGATTTGCATCAACCACCAATTACATAGTTGTAATGGTGACATTGACTTCATCTCGCACATGGGCTACCTGAAAGTTTTGCTCCATATCCCACAGGAAAT